ATTTGCAACAGGGCACCAACTGGAAATAGTTGGTTATATTATGTAACCTCTGTGCCCTGAGGGAAGGGGAACAAAAAGAGCTCCATTATATCCTCAACAAGACAAGTTCAAGAATGTGCTTAGAGATATATTTGACACACAAGTGTTCGTTTGCCCTTTGGATGAGTGTTTTTGTGAAGAAAAAATGTTATACATGTCCTCTTCTTTCATAAAGCCTGTGTTATATATACTATTACATATTCAATTGAACATGCAGTCAACATCTACCAGCCCTGCATGGAAAGCTATAACATGGCAGATTAGATTATTAGCTTATAATTATTAATTGAAAATAATTGGACATTTGCAATGGCGCAAAACAAAGAGAAACACAGACTCTAAGTGAAAAGAGAGGATGAGAGAGAGATAGTTATAGTCCCACATGTAGCAGAGGGCCTGCGAGGCTCAGAGTAACCTTGACTGTTTGAGCACACAGCCATGTAGGCAATGCAGTAAGAGGCAAGAAGACTTTGAAGCTGTGCTGCAGAGAACCTAGCAGGAATCCTGATGTCCCGCTGCACATCCTCAAACCCCCCTCCTCCCTATCTGCCCGTCTCTGCAATGGATTCAACATAAAGCAAGGAAAAGAGAAGAAACGCAGCGAACGCACCCCAGAGACAGACAAAGGAGAGAGATTCAAATAAAGGCAGGTGGAACGAAGGAAGACATTCATACATGGTAAAACAAACCTAATCAAATTGTCTGGTCCAAGTGAAAGAAAACAACAAAGCAGGAATCTGGGCTCTGTTGCCCTTGGACCAAACCCAAACCAGAAAATCACAGGCTAATGACAGCGCCAGAGCTGCCCCCAATTTTCCCTTTTCCTGCACAAACCTCCACTGCCCTCAAATTACTATCAATATTCAATTAGGGGGCCGGGGATACAGGACGAGCTGGCCTCAATAACAAACCACACTTCTCTTTGGATTATGACCCTTAAAACTAACACAGTGAAATTTCCTGCATAAATAATCAGCGTAATAAGGCGTAAATACCCTCTCAGTAAAAGCAATTGGGTCTTGGACTTTTGACACAGTGATGAGTGATCTCTCCTTGGCTTCACAATCTATGCATGCCTTTACGATGAAGTTTCCAACAGTGATGGAGCCCATGTTGCTGTAGCTGTAGGTGGGAACATGTACCGTGGTCCTGGCTCTGGCGGGCGCCCACGTGACAAGAGTAGCACCAGGCACCACGTTTTTTTTTGTTTTTTTTTTTAATAACACGGAAAAGGGAAAGGAGGTTGAATTTCATATTTAGACCCAAGCCTAAATCCAGATTGCCATGTAAAACCTCCTGCTTTAAGCCACAGAAAATCTGTCATGGAACGCTCATTAGTTACATATCAGAGAAGTCTACTTTCACAACAACCAGACAGAGGAGTTGCACACAAGAAATCAGTGTCATAAATCTTTCTGAAAGATAAGACATAGTTTCTGGGAGCGGAAGATTAAACAGAGAGAGGTCTGAGAGAGAAAGCCAGACACCGACGAATCAAAGATACAACAAATAGTGTGAATTAGCAGCAGCTCAACAAAAGCTACACTGAAGCCTTTTCAAGTAGATAACACATCAAACACAAGGACATTGTGATTTGTAAATAATGTGAAAGTAGAATATTTCCACATAATGGAATAATGGAAACAGAACTGACATCACCACTGTAGTAAACAGCTGAAATAATTGTTCTAGAGGCTACAGAATACACTGATAAAGACACCAACTGTAAAAGAAAGGGCTGCAACTAACCATTGTTTTGCCTGACCAACAGCAAACACACACCCACAGATATGAGCGTTTACTTTCATACCACACAAAGAAAAGCACCAAATCATCATATTTTAGAGGCTGGAACCTGCAAATGTTTGGCATCCATGCTTAAAAATGACTCCAATCCGATATCAACATGGTAGCCAGTTATTTTTATGTTGATTGACTAATCAGCTCTGAAATATCGATGCTGTGTTATTGTTATGAACCTGTACCCTTTACAGTTAATCCATAATCAGATTTAAATGAATTGTAGACAACTGTAGCAGAAGTGTGTCTTTAAAAAAAGAAAAAAAAAAAGCTTTTAAAATATTAAGCTGAGAAAACACATACTACGCTGAAAGCTTTGAAAAGTTGACCTATCAACTTAAACAAAGTGTCAACTGTACACCCTTATGTCCCCTGATAATTGAGTAACTCAATGACAGATTGAACAAGGCTGACCCAGTGACTCAGTGAAGCACTGACAAGGCGAGCCTCAAATTACACATCTGCCAGAGAATGAGGGGTGGAGTGGAGAGGGTTAGAATTACAGTTTAAATGGAGATGCTGGGATGTTCACTTAATAGGAAAAACCTTCAGATCTCATCTGAAACAGTACAGCACTAAGAGATAAAGAATGTCAGCTGAAAGTCAATGATTCTGTTTGGATAAAAACATGTGGAGAAAAAAAAAAACAAACAAAACACTGTGGAAAAATCGCCTCCAAATCAGCCTCCAGCACTGCACAGGGAAAAAATGGAAATGCCAAAGAGACAGAAAGATAAAGTGAAATCCAGTTCAACTGACACACCTGCAGTCTGAGAGTCAGGCCACATATGAGCAGCAGAGCAGGTGTCCGCACAGCCAGCATGGCAGACAGATTCCTGCAGTTGTTTTCACGGGCAGATGCAGGCTGTTTTCACTGGATGCACGTCTCTTACATTCGAGGAAAACCGCCTTCACAAATCCATGAAATGCACCGTTTCTATCAAACTCTCATTAGCTTCTTGCCAAGTCAGATTTTCACAGCTTGTACAACAACACGATCGTCTCAAACCTGTTTTCCCACGATACAGAGGAATGATGCCGAATGCATGTTTTTTCATGATGATTTGACAGGGCAATATAAAATTTAAATGAGTCATGAAATATTAAGTGAGAGTGACAAAAGCCGTAATTGTTTTGCATTAATTGCATCTTTGAAGCTGATAGAAGAATTTTTCTCTGAGGAGAGAAAAGAAAAAGAAAAAATGGCAGAGATGGAAGGAAAAGAAGAACACTGAAATTTAAAGGGGAGTGATCAATGTTTTGTGCATACAACAGCAACAAAATGGGGAGAGGAGGAAAAAGACAGAAACTGAGGATAAACCGAAGCTCAGGTCACGAGTGGTGACAAAGGCGGATCCATGGGGATCAGAGGAAGCCCTCAAAGCCGCCTCCCAGAGCTGGGATGAAGGCGGCTCTGTGTGGAAGCAGAGAAGATGAAACACCATTTGGGGCTGGGGCCCCCCTGCTGCCTCGCCTCTGTGTTCAGGGCCTGTGAGCTCCTCTGCCTCTGAAGTGCAAAAAAAAAAAAAAAACCCTCACACCCAGCAGCACCCAGCACTGCTGCACCCTGCGCCTTCTGCCATTTGGTGACTCGGTGCAGCTCGACACAGACGGACGTGGCAGAGAGGTGTTTCTGCTAGGTTTTCATAGTGGATGTATAAAGGAAATATCTACATTTCAGAAGCTACAAAAGGTGGTATTTTTTTGGTATATTCACTGAATTGTTGCTGACACTTTTTGTGGATCCACTAATCAATTAATTAACTAAACATCTCAGTTCAACACTCAATAATCAATCAGTGTTTAATATATGAATATGCTCTTCAAAATGTGGGGTTTCTGGTCATAAAAAATGATCCCTACGACTCCAACAACGCAGAAAAATGACACAACCACGAACCATGTTACTTCAAAATAAAAAACACAAATCATGTCAGTAGAAGCTGAAACTATGAACTAAATTAATCTATCATTTGATGATTAATTAATGTGTTAGGCACAAAATGCCAAAGACAAAAAAAGAAGAATGGCTCCATCTTCTCAGATTCAAAAATCTGCTCCTTTTCTCCTTTATATAGACATACTTGTAAACTGAATACATTTGGGTTTTAAACTGATGGATGGACATGACAAGCATTTTGAAGGTGTCTCCTTATGAGAACTGGGAACTTCTGAAGGGCATTTTCTGACATTTTACCAAACTTAACAATTAACCAAGGGAAACGCTGGCTGCAGCTAGGTGTAATCAAATCTGATCAAACCACAGCTGATGTCTCTGTCCACATGCTATGCAAACTCAATCTGATTAATTGTCTGCATTTATTCATAAACAGCATCAGTTCTCATTGTGTCCAAAAGCTGGTTTTCTGAATGGACTTCAGGCTGCAATCAAATAAAAAGGGATTTAACCGCATAAACCGATGTACCTACATTTTCTCTGATCCTCCTGCAGACTACCCAGCTGAATTATCACTTGCTTTTTTTTTTTTTTTTACCCGTACAATGGCATGTGTCAGTCTTTATAACGAGGCATAAATCATCTGACCTCCACCTCACAGTTAACTGTATCAAGCTGGTGCTATTTAGGAAGGATAGAGGCCGATCCTTTCATAGAAAGTACAATGAAATGTTGCTTCACGGCTGACTGCTCATGATGATCATCGTGGGTGACAGTTTATCCTTGTGTTTCATTTGCCTGTCCGGCGGACACAGGCAAACGCGCACACATCCAGTGTGTCAAGATACATGTGATCTTTGGTTAGAAAAAAAAGAAACCAGATGAGGAAGGAAATAAAAGGTGAAACACAAGCTACCCAGGAACACCGAACCTCCAGCGTGTTGATGTCCCAGATAAACGCGTCCTAACTTCAAAGCGCCTGTTGTTGCACTGCAACACAGAGCGGAGCAACACTGGCAACTAAAGAGCTTATTGTTTCGTAACACTGCAACATTTCTGTCAACAAAGTTTCCCCTTGTGATTATTACATTGTTTTAGTGTGTAGCTGTATTTCACCAACTCTGTTTGAGCCACTTTTTTGGGGGGGTGGGTTGGGGGGGGTTTCAAACCGGCTACAGCTCGAAGTGCCACATGAATACCTCACAGTTTCACACAAAAACAAATTCAACGGCAATAAAAAAAAAATACCCTCTTTCTCTTTTACCTGCATAGTAAAGACTCCCAGCTCCTGAGAGGACAGCTTTTTCATTTGATCGGCCAAAACTTGCGCTTCTTCCAGGATGGAAAACTCCGACTCAGCTCCGCAATATCCACAAGAAAGAGCTGAGCAGATTAAAACGAAGCTCCACGAAAAAGCCAACAAGCCCGTGTTAAACCGAAGGTGTTTATCCCGGAAAGCAGCGCGCGTATTCGGCGTCAAAACCACGAATCTCCCCTCTGTCCGCCTCGCCATGATGGCTGTGGGTCTGCAGGCTGGAGAAACACGGGAGTCTGAACTGGTGGCGGAGGGAAAAAAAAAAACTTCAAGGGAAACTACTTTTACAACTTTGCAGCGTTGAGGACGTGTGCTCTTTCTCTCCTGTGCGAGTCTCCGAAAACATTTCTGGCCGCGCAAACCATCGCACCTCCTTGAAATCCCGCAAGAGAAGAAAACATATCCATGCGTGAAAGAGGATATGGCTTTTCTTTTCTTTTCTTTTTTTTAAAACGCTGTCGGTGTTCCGTCTTCGATCAGTCTCTCCAACTCCTGGAAGTCTGGCAAAGTGTGTGTGTGTGTGTGTGCGTGTGTGTGTGTGTGTGTATGTGTGAGCCGGAGAATCACCACAGTGGGGGTGAAAGTGGGAGGCGTGGAAAACACAAGAGTCCTACCGGAGCCTGGATCTCTGGATCAATGGATCAGGGTTTCATTATGCCTTCAACCGGGCTACTGCTGGGAAAGGAGCCATCGTAATAAAAACCTGCATTTGAGGCGTAACCCACAAAGTAGCCTCCATAAACAGCCAGGGATTTTTTTATCTTTATGATTAAGTTACAGATGAATCATCCGTTGCAAGGTTTTTGAAAACGTCCACAACCCCTTGGTTGATTATAAAAAAAAACCTTTAAGGACATGAGACCATATCAGTGACTGACCCCTCAGCATTTCATTCTTTAACATTTTGTTCAGCCTTTTTTTGCAACATAAAACCCTTTTAACTGTTAACTCCACTCCAACTTGTAATGGGGGGTGAATTAATTAACATATCAACTGCATGCATTACTCACTCTTTTGTCATGGGGTCCATTTTGTGATGAATGAGTCCTCAAAATATTCTATTCATGGCAGTGCCCTTTATGAGCCCTAGATGTGGCGTTACTTACAGCCTCTTACACATGTCCTTTTGTTTAGGCTGCAGGATCATTGGATGTTTTTTGAAAACAGCACTGTGTCTGTGTGATAGAGTGTTGTAAAACAACAGTTGTCATTCAAATTCCAAAAAAATAGAATAAAATGAATAAAGAGACACTTTTTCTTTATTTCCATCCGGGAGAGCAGATGATGCAAAGGTCCACACAGGTACGTATAGAAAGCTGTGCTGGTGATACATGTACCACTGTGGTATCACTTCTCTGTACATGAAACCGATGCGTGGGAAAACAAAGTGCAGCATTTGTAAGAACATGAATGAAAGCAGTACTATGGGTGTAGTAACCGTCAGACACTCCACTCCTGTAAGAATCCACTTCATGGTTTCACTACAGCTTCACTTTGACTTTGGCGGAGCAGCTTTGAGAAAGAGCAAAGGCTTGTGTGTGTGTGTGTGTGTGTGTGTGTGTGTGTGTGTGTGTGTGTGTGTGTGTGTGT